AGGTCGTCTCACATTACATTTATTTGTGCTAAATTTTAGTCCCGTGCTACTAGGCTGTCATGTGCAATTTTCTCAACTATCAAGGGACTTCTGCCCCACCCCGTTTTGCGTAATGGGTATAAATTATCATCGCATAGACGTGTGGGGTCAATACTATCAGAGAGACAAAAAATATAGGCTAAAAACATGGCTCTGTCAACGTGGCATAAATTAACAAAGGCAGCGATGATAGATTAAAACGGAAGGGCTTGAGTGACGTGTGGTAATGAGGATGTTTCGTGAAGGATCATCTGGGGTTCTTAAAAACGAGGTTAGCAGTGGGAGAGGCAGCGACGGCTTTCCGAACTCTGGACAAAAGCCCTTTTTGCAGCCTTTCTCGTTATGACCACGTCGCACATTTCCTCATGTAATAGTTTTATCTAGCATCAAGCTGGAGGCAAAAAGTGTGTCAATAGCCATTATGCAAGCGGAAGAAATGCTAACAGTAAATTTTTTGGACGTCGATTGCGACAAGTGTATGTCGATAGATAAGTAGCAAATGATGTAGGTTTGTATTAGGGACAGGCCATCAGTCGTATGAAGCAGAAGTGTTTAACTAGGACGGTACGAAGTCCGGAACCTTTCTCATATGTTAATAGCAGGTTAAAGGAATACACTAAATGTGTATTTCATAAAAATTTTCTTAATGGGCGACAGTGGGGAAGTAAACGAGAAACGAAATTAAGCTTTATGCGCAAACCATAGTTTCTACACCCCTGAGAGAGTACCGGACATCCATGTGTATTATGACCACTAAAGGTTTCTCGTATTGACGCATACGAGTCAATAGTAAAACGAATAGATAGGCCTTTTAAAATGGAGGTCGAGACAGAGGAATGCGTACGCAGAGGTGGCCTGCAAGGTACAAACACAATTCAAATAAATTCAGTCAAGCAGGCAGCTTGAATTTTTAAAGTCAATTGTGCAGCACTGAAGAGATATTCTCAAAGTGATTTCGGCACTATCATATTTAACACTCGTGCCTTACATGTCGAGCAAGACATATTCGGTCTACGTTCTAACAAACGATAAATCTCGAAGAGTGATACATCGTATCTCAGCGATCGCAGGCGTCTTGTTGTGACGGCGCCTCAGTGAGTCCAGCAATTATATTTTATCTCGTACTACGTACAACGGGCACGTTTCATCTAACGTGACGCGTATCAGCGTCGAAGTAGTAAGTGGTGGAGTTTTAGTTAGTCTAGGTCATTGGAACGTTGGTGATTTTCTGTGTGCTTACGTGTTTCTGTACGTTAAGGATCGAAACGAGAAGAGGTAGAGATATTACCAAAGGGCAGAAAACACTAATTAACAGATTGTGTCATAAAACAAATGTGCGCAAATAACGCAGGATTGCTGAAATGTTTTATGTTTAGTGGTGTACAATTGGCAATGTTGCTTAAAAATTGAAGGAAATCTCTTACTATTGGGTATAATCTGTATTATCAATCGAAAAAGGGTAGTACAAAGCAGAACAATCGTATGATTATTTATGAACACCAAAAAGATAGTTTCATCTCGTCTGTCTTCCAGACAAGGTTGAGCTAAAGAGGCTGGATTTGAAGGCAGCAATCCTGTTAAGAAACCTCAGTTGAATTCTCGAATGAAACAAGCTAGTTGTCAAGTCAGACAATCCCAGTCGAGAGCTGGGCCGTTGAAAATAGGGAGAGGGTGTCGTTTTTCATACGATTCTCGTTTCGAGATACTGAGAAAGAAAAAGGAAAGCATTTATCATGTCCTTAGGCGTATTGGCCAATGCAAGTTGCGTCATACCGAAAATCAAACGTCCATCAAAAGTTACATAAAAAGGTTACATCATAACCTATGATATCTGGAAAAGACATTGGGATGATGCATTTTGTTAGGGTAGCGCTAGTGCAGCAGGAACATCAAGAGATTATCGAGATCAAGATACTACCTCTGTGACGATGATAATGCCCTCATGATGTCAGCGAGCTGGAAGTATTTCCAGGTCACTCGCTGCCACTAGCGTTCGAATGAATGCGTAGTCTGGTGTCAATTCTTAATTCCGTAAAGAAAGCCTGAAAAAATTGTAAAGGAATCAAAAGGACAGACCCGGGAAGGACAAGAAATAACAAATGTTCGAGATCTTCATGGAAAAATCTAGTTACTCTAGCTAAGAAAGGGAAAACTGCATCTATGCCTCAAAGAAAGGAGGCAATTATCCCTGCGAAATGCGGTGCCGCGAAGTACTGAATCTCACAGCTATATACCTCGTTCATTAGCCGCGCTTCCTTTCCTGTTGAGAGGTTTTGAGAACAATTCTATTTCTTTTTGTTCCTCTTTATTTGGCATCAATTTAGGTGTAACTTTACGATGAATAGCGTGTCTCCTCTCCAGCAGTGTCTGTGCTAGAGGTCAGTTGGCTCGTGGCCCTTTCTCAATCAATACCAAGGGGATATCGAACCTTAACGTTAACTTGGTATGGGAAGGTGTTAATAAAACATTCTCAGGCAACCTCTAAACCATACCAAGAGCGTACTAAATACTAGGACAACTGTAAGGTAACACTCATTAAGGCCTCTGCTGTTTCGTGACGAGGCGTTGCCAACATTCAAGCATCTGTATTAATTACGTTAATAAATGTTAGGCAAACAGTATTGAAACCTCGATCAAAGTAGCCTTACGCCATCGATTCTGAGCTGAAATGTTACCTATGCGATCGTTTCGGTGAGACACAATACACACGCGATACAATGGTATTTTATTGCCGATATTTTCGGTTAGTTCAGGTGGAAGTTCATCTCCGATGCGGACAAAATTCAAATAAACGGCGTAAATTTGGCAGAATTTTTTTTCTCCGTATATAAATTACATCGAATAACTAGTAATGGACGTCGTGCATAATAAATATTACTCCTCTTATTACATCCAATCGTATATAACTTAAATGTTAATTATTGGCTAGATACGACAGTGAGCTCAGGTAAAACTGGGAAGATGGTTTCAGATTTACGGTTATTTCGAATTGTTCTAAAGTTTCATTGGGAGAATGACTTCGCCAAAAAGACGCTATCTATCGTTTAGGTCGAAAGCATTTTCTGGGGCAGAATTGTTACAATTCTGCCCCAGAAAATTTTATCTACAAAGCCCGAATAAGCGTTAAGGGCCGTAAACAGCGTGAGCATTTTTAAGGAAGCTTTTGAATGTTTGAACAGTGCTGAACGTAGTCACAAAAAAAAACTATTGGTCGTTTTTGCTTCTATCTTGGGGCTGCTCTCATGGGCGGTATAATCTCATGATCATATGCTCAATCAAAGGTTGATGTTAAAGGTCTTGCTGGTTTCGAAGTAGCATATGCCTACGCAGCCTCACATCGATACAAGCACGCACCACAAAAGATATATTTTATAATCAATTTTTATAGGTTAGACTTCCCTCGAGTGTTAGCATTTTCGCTTCAGTCCCTGTCCGATACGTCCGAAAGTATTTCATAGTATAATTAATTACTATTTGACGGCCAAAGGGTTGGAATAGGAACTAGATTCTCGATTTTTACAGTTTCCTTAGTTAATTAAGAAGAGCGGATAGTTAATTACTGATAATTGAAGTACTCGAATGTTGGTTTTAAAAGGAATGTTCCCGTGTTAAACCTCACATCAAAGAATCAGTGATTCGTTATACTCACGACTAAATAGATAAACGATCTTGTTACCGTTGCCTTCGTAATACATGATTACTATTAAATTTTGCAGAAAAATTATGGTCATGACGATACTGGTGTGCTCCTGATTCAACGTATATATTGGTGTAACATCAATGAAATTGAATCTAAACTGGTCCTGATATCTATGCGTAGGGAATGATCGTGGGCCTCCAGTATTTGCTGCAGGTCCAGCCGGACACGTAGAACAGGTTTCACAGTTTCAAGATTATCGCCAGTTGTTAATCTCTTTGTTAGAGAGTTCGGCCTTATCAGCAACAAAATCGAATTTACAATAGCTTTTTACGGCTTTGTTGACCATTGTTTTTTTTTCTCACATAACTCTGTTTTTACCTTCCGAGTTACCCTCATTAGCGATTTTACAGTGACGGGATACGTGTTCCGAAAGTTCTCTAATGAAACGGATGCGTATTGTTGAAGCTATCGGTTAACAAAGACTGCGTCCGTTAGCTTTTGTGTGTTTGTGCTTCTCTCGTGAGGTATCCGAGTCTTGGCTTATATTGTCTTTTAGCTGGTGTCGTTTTATGTTGCATGGTAATATTTCCCTTCTTGAAACTAGAAAAGAGGATGCTTTGGTTAGGCATTGTAGATTTTGCAGATTAATATTATTCGGATTATATTCGGTGTCGCTGTCTCAATTAAGCGAGACTTTAGTGGCTGGTGGTTTATTCAAACACGAAAAAATTAATCGTACATTTGCTGGCTCCCGGTTTCGAACCTAGAAGGGTTGTTTTTTACAACAAACACTGTTCCGTTATTATGACAGTGTTGCAACGTAGCGCATGTGTTTTTAACGCCACTGTTCCACCCGTTCACTTGCTGTTAGTGAATAGGATTTATTTAGGGCTTGCCGTAAACTATGCATAATTTACTGTACGAAGATGAACGATACTTTTCGTTGTATCTAAGGTATATAATCACAAACGCATTGAAGGAATAAGCTAGGAGGACGGGTGAAATCCGGAAGTTACAGTACAGTTAGTACATCTACAGTTACCCTAGCTGAATTTCAAAATGGAGCTTAATTCGTCTAATCAGATCGCACGGCAGTTTTCTATTAAGTTAGGTTCATATTCAAATTTCGCGCTTCGAGGTGGCTGTTTCTAGATGCGACAATCTCTGCAGTACACCATGGATACGTTCGTGTAAGGTATACAAGAAGCGCGCATTTTCATACGTTCGTACCACAAGTCATACGCGTACCTAAAGTCACACACTTTAAATGCTAGACCAGCCTGCAACGTACTGACTTAGCTTATCCTGTTTTTTTTTTCAGCTTTTTCCAAATTTTTCTTCGGTAGGCTCTACTGACAAGGCGTTGTCAAAATGAGTGGCCTAAGTCGAGATGTCAGCCAGCTCTCGTTGGTTCTGGTGTTATCGGCTGCCATATTGAAGACGGTAGCTGCCAAGGAATTCACTTTAACCATTCTGCACACAAATGATGTTCACGCTCGTATCGACGAATTTGATGCAAAGGGAAGCCGATGTAATCTCGACGAAACGCAGAACCAATGCTACGGTGGAATTGCTAGACAAAAATTTATGGTATGGTTTATTCAATTTTATAATGCTAGACTTTTTTTCTATGCTGACTATAAAAAACATAGTGGAAAACTAAAAGATCACGCGATCGATAGGTGTCATCCCATCAATGGAACAGGCTTCATGTTGTTTTCCGTAACGAAACGTGCTAATTCGAGGTGGCTCCTGGTCACGACTATTTCAGGTTGATGAAATTCGGAACAACAACCCGAACACGATCTTTCTAAACGCAGGTGACTATTATCAAGGCACCATGTGGTTCTACATGCTCAAAGGCGAGATTATTGCTGATACAATCGAGATTATCAGACACGATGCCATGGTAATCCATCGATAAATATATATAATATATAGAACTTTATGACCGGATGAATGCTAATAGCCGTTGTTTTATCCAACATTTTAATCCGCAGCGCCTAGATAATTAATGAAGCAGTTCGACAGTCTATGGGTATTTGTGCTATTCAGCAGAAGACATCCTGTGCTCCATAATCCTGCAACTATACCTATGCATTACATCACGACTTTATCCTAGCGTTAAGCAAATGATCCTTAACTTGAAGGATTTTTCTCGGCCGACATTTGACTAGGGGTGCCGTTTTCGGCACCTGAAGAGTTTTCGTAAGTGAGAGTAAGGTGTGCACCCTTGGCTTTGTAGCCACTCATCTTGCACAGCAATCCCTATAGCTGGCACTTGCTGCTGTATTCTTTTTTTAGCAGACATCAATCGAGTAGATCTATCAAACAAGAAATGGACCCTTATTTGACAGATCAGTAACGACCTTATGCGTAGATAAACTGAAATTTATTTATGCTTACGCTTGACTTGCTGATACGGCCCTGCTGATAGACCCTTGGTAATCACGAGTTCGACGACGGTTCCGCTGGTGTTTTGCCACTGCTCAAACGCGCCGCGAACATCTCAACTCCGATCCTTGGCTGCAATATCGACTTTAGCAATGATCGTCTCTTGAAGGCTTATCAACCGCGGCCGTCAATCGTATTGGAGAGATCCGGGGTAAAAATCGGCGTTATTGGATTTATTACACCGGACACGGTCTTCTTGTCGAATCCCGGTAAGGTTCGAGTGGCAAGAAACCATGATCATGATGCTCACACGTTTGGAGCGTCTGTTCGGTAAATATTAAAAGATCCTACGATTCTTCTCGCCAGAGTCTCAAAACGATCCGTACCTAATAACAACGGTTGTTGTGGTTTCCACGAAACGATTTCTAAAGGCTAAGATAAAAATGATACTCCCATTAGACAAATAAGCAAAACCATTGTGGTGAACTAACTGAACCATAGATAGAAAACACATATCAAGCAACACTTAACGGTAGGATCGAACAAAAAACCCGAAATGTTTATCTTAGAAATATACTAATCAACTACGATCCTCCGCCTAACGTTAACAACCAGGTAAGGACATTAAATTTACGGATGAAATCGAGTGTATTTCGCACGAGGCTGAAAAACTCCGCAAGCAAAACGTCAGCATCATCATTGTAACAGGTCACTCCGGCTACGTAAAGGATCAGGAGATAGCTGAAAAGGTTCCACTTGTGAGTGTTGTTGTCGGAGGTCACTCTCACACATACCTGTCCTCAGGTAGATATCAAATGAAGGCTTCGTAATGAAAGCTTTGTATGACTTTTTTTTTTTTTTTATCTATGGGTTATTCTGCTAGACGAAAAGGTATCTTGCATAATTTAGCAAATTATAGTAGATTCAACCTAATCTAATAGAATCGTTCAAAAGTTTCTAGCAGATATTAATGCTTTCGAAACTAGAAACAGAAGATCGTTTCTCGGCGTGTTTATTCTTATTCTGGGCCAGCTCAACATGTGTTGCGATATGTATTTCTGTGAAAGACAGAAAATCATCCTAGTGAGTCTTTCGATTCGGACCTAGAGTGAAACTTCCTCTGATCGGGTCAATCTTTTAACGCGTATATTTGAATTTAACTATTTTTTAACGTCTTATATTATTCTTTATACAGTTGACCAAGGCACCAATGATCCAGTGAAGGGCCCGTACCCTACGGTAGTAACACGAAAGGACAAGACTCGGGCACTGGTTGTTCAAGACTTCTGGCTGGGCAAATATCTCGGATACATCAACGTAACTTTTGACTTGGCTACCGGCCAAGTTCGTTCGTGGCAGGGCAATGCTCCGCTCTTGCTCGATAGCAGCATCGATAAAGGTGAGGGGCAACGTTTCGCAAAGGTCTGTAGTGCGCAGTGATAGTAGCAAGAGCAGCATTCACGATAGTTTTAAGTGACGGTCTGTTGTATTATATATAGCTTTGATGTCACATAACGTTTATTTAACTGAGCGTTAACTAATCGATCACTCCATCGGTGTTGGTAACGTCAATCATAAATCGGCAGACCCCAAAGTCGAGAAGTTTCTGGAACAGAAACGCGCCGTGATTAATGCAGAAGCTAACGTCTATGTGGGCTACAGTTTGGTGGTGTTATCGGGCGATAAAGAAGACTGCCGCTTCAGTGAGTGCGCTCTCAGTAATCTTCTGGCTGATGCTGTCATGCAGCACTTCATTCTGGCGAACTACAACAGTTCTTCACAAAACACGAAAAAGTACGGTATAATACATTGCAATACATTTAGTCAAAAAGAGGCGAGCGCTTTATAGTGAAGCTAGTATTGGGCCGAATATAGACCGGGGAAAAGGGAAATACATTGACCGGAAGATTTAGAGTATCAGATGTAGGATATGATGTGCGGTTTATATTTGGGTCAGCACAGTAAAGATTACCTGGGATCCTGTTTTATAATCAAGTAGCAATTTCATTTGCCGTAAACTGAATGCAAATAGTTAAAGGGAAATCTTCGCTAGCCGGTCTCTGTCCGCTAAAATATTCTATAAGTAGGTCATCATACGCCTGGTGATCCCGTTAAACCTAATCCTATGCTGTTTTTCTATTTGATGAAGTCCTAGATCGTTGGCAACAAGCTCGAGCTTCGCATTACAGTCTAGTTTCCTATATGCTAACATATTCATGCCATGAACTATCTCAATGGTGTTTACCGAAATTCGTCTTTGGTTCAAAATCTCATAATATAATAAATCTCACTAATTTCATTTACTGTACTTAACAATTTTCTTAACAAACTGTCTTAACAATTTTCACAATTGGACATTTCGTGGTTTCTGTTGCCACTCAGCGGTTGACATTCAGTTACGTTTACTCATATAGATTAGCTTTCTTGTATATATATATATATATATATATATATATATATATATATATATATTAAATTTTTGACGCTCAGGGATCTCTCCAAGTGTTTCGAAAAGGGTTCAATCCCATCTATGCCATAATTTCAGCACCTCCATGCTGAAAGTTTCCTGTCTCGCGTTCATCGACGCGACGTCTATAAAATCCCTTTTTGAATTAGTGCTGAGTTTTATTCGGAATCGCTTCGAACCCTTCTGCAAAATTTCCGCGCAGGAATATCCAATGTTTTTAGGTCTCAAATAGAACGACTGCCATAACCTTGAGGCTTACTAGACAAAAGTTGTGCTTTACAGAGCCTTCCATCCAAAATTTAGATCGCAGGTGAACGGAAGTTCTCTTCATCGCCATTGGCCTGAAGTGAAATGCTTGAAAAAGTAGATCGTGTGGAAGCATGTTAATAGTTCGCTTTCCGAGACAAGGCGGCACCGTCAGATGCGAAGCTCCAAGTAGCGTACGCGGTGAGGTAGACGAGGACTATGCCATCTCATCAGTAAGGTACAAAACAAAAATTGCGGTCCCGGTAGGGTTATGATGTACAAGATGCCAGCCTATACCCGACTGATGGCAGAAAAAGAAACAAACGGCCTTCAATTGGTTTTTTTCCTTTGATCAGAGTTGGCCAATGATCAGCGGCCGTTTAAATCAAGTATCCCAAGCCTAATTCCTTTTCTTCATTCATAGCTGGAGCTATTGCTCGGATTACATTTAATCAACTTGGTTCTCTCTTGATGTTTCTTGAAGAAACATGCTCGACTTGAAGCAGAGAACCATACGTTTCTATTCCGAGAAAGTGGGTTTTCGAGTCATTAACTAATTCTTGGTCTGCAGTTACCAATGACATCGGTCGACCGATGACAATCGATTCAGGGTCAACCTCCGCTATGAACCCATGTTAATGATGATCTACAAGGATTGCTTTTGCCCGCGTACTTGATGGCTAACAAAAAAGTAGTTTCTCGGCTTTCCAGGAAGGAGATTCGGTGAAGGAGATTCTGCGGGGCACGTACGGTACATGTCGAAACATCGAAAACTTCGTTGTACTGATTATTTGTCCATTAGGAACTTTTCCTCTGACCTTTATAGACTGAAGGTCAGTCTGACGGTGCACACTTCAGGTGTCCATTGCGAGATCTTTTGTGATTTCATGCGTATTTGTTGATACCGTCGGCCATCTTTATAACGGTGGCGTCTTATGTGTTGATTCGTAGTTTTACTGCTAATTCAAGTTTGCGTTTGGTACTGTCTATAAGAACTACCCCGGACTGTTGACCCTTCACCATGAAACAATTCGCTACCAGCTTGTGAAGGCTAACTGGTTCTTTTCCGGGTGTACAGGAAGAATCTCAATAACCTTCTTCTATACTAGTTCGAAAAATCATGTAATCGACAGTGGTCATCCTGAATATCTCTTAGTTCGAATCGGGTGCCAGTGAATCCAATGCCTAAAACTGCATACGACAGCGAAATCGAGTCCACTGTCTCGATACCATCCACGTTTCTTTTCCAAGATTCAGGAATAACGCCAGTAAGCCAATTCTAAAATCAAGCTTGTCCTTCGAATAACAGATGGAATCCCATCGATATGGCGGTTGTAAACGGAGGTGGAATTCGGGGATCAATTTCTAAAGGTAACGTAACCTTTGGAGACATAGTCACCGTATACCCGTTCGCGAACCCCATTTGCATCCTCCCACTTACTGGAGTTCAAGTTAAGAAGATGTTCGAAACAGGCTTACACAGATACGACATTCGACGCCTTGTAAGTTACGGGGGCTTCTTGCATGCATCAGGTAAGTAAACTTTTTTTAACCGTATTTTAGTTATCTAATTGCTAATATGTAGTACACATAAATTGATAGGGATATTTATAGAGAACGTTCTTATGAGGACATACGCTTTTTTCGAACTATAAACTCATGGGCTTAGCAGCTAGCAGGGTGTGTTTACTTTAGAACATCACAATTGGTAATTGGTCGTTAAAATGAAGTTCCCATAAAGAAAAGTACATGAATAGTCGTACGATTGGCTGGACCCGTTTGCGCTATATAGTAACTAACCATATTAGAAACTGTTGTCTATTAAATACTTTGAGGGCACGCACCGATTCTCCTCCGACATTCCTTGAAGGAACATCGACCTACCTATATGCTCCATTAATTAATTTTCTAATTTCTATATCCGAATACTACAGGAGCGCGCATCGTTGCCGATGTCACTCAACCACCGTTTCAACGAGTACGTTCAATAGAGATCTTATGCAATTCGTGCGATTTACCTGAATGGCAGCCGCTCGACCCGCAGCGCACATATCGCGTAGCGATGACCGATTATATCGCTATGGGCGGCGATAAACACAACTTTAGCGACGTACCCAGTAACAAAATCGAAACATGTGGTAAGTCTAGAAAAAGTTCTTTTTGTTCATTGGCTTGAATGGGGCTAAATCACTAGCTAACAAACTCAGTGGGGGCCGCTGTCAACGAGGTACTTGACGCGACAGCTGTGATAAAAAAAAAAAAATGACATTTATTGAATTCTGTCTAGTAGTATAGGACGCTTAAATCGATCGTGGCTACTTTGTGTTCGATGTTAGCCCAAATCGCTATACCTAAATGTTAAATATGAACGTACACATGTATCGAGGGTGCTTATAAATGCTAGGCAAAAACTTTTCGCATTCCTAAGGTGCACTTTGATGACAAGGCTTGAATTGTGCTTAGGTAGGGCCCGTATCTTACTTTCATCGACGTTAGCATGCCCGCCCAAACAGATACGTTTCGATATTCTCTTCCGACTCGATCTGCCGTGATTCTACATTTGTTATTTGATCTATTTCTCTCCCCCAGACGTCAAGGATACGGACCTCGCCAAGGTTTACTTCGAGCGAAATTCTCCGGTGTACGCCACGACTGACGGACGCCTCCAGATCATTACAAGCCCCGACAGCGACAGTTGTAACACAAGCCCAGCGGTTTCACAGCGATTGATGTTAGGACACGTTTTCCACTTCACACTCGTCAGCTTGTTGATCGTCTGCTTTCGGTACTCATACATGATGACGGTGTAGTTAATGCTGCTCCGTTAAGCGAGCTGTTCTCTATCGCCGATTTCGTACTGTCAGCGAACTAGTCGTCAGGAGATCATGGCGCCAACTATCTATTCATTGACCTGCAGCGTCATCGAAAGGCGCTAGCTTTCAATATCTCGTATGACATCAAAGGATCATTATCACTCGTGCGTACATACACATGTGTTATAGTACTATTGAAGACTTTGGGGAACGCCGGACCACTGCAGGCGTATCGATTTAAATTGGATCGCTGATAGCCGATTACTGTAACGCATATTTTTTCTCCGACCATCTTGGTTGTACGTGACGGTATATAGTGCGCAAAAAAATAGCGGATTCATTGCAGAAATCCATTGCAGAGAAAAGAGGTTCCGCTTGAATTTGTGTTCCGACTCGACTGGATCGCTCTAATTCGAATTTAGATTATCATTATGATTTCCACCATTATCTTGATAAACTACAGTGACAGTTATCATATTATCTAAACGAAGTCATCATAAATTGTAATTTGTCTGTTTTCTACTTTATTCGTCTAAACCCTTTTATTTTGTGACTTGTGTTTCTTTTCTTGGATCCCCTGTGGGTTGTCACGTGAATACTTAAAATAGGGATTTCAATTGTACAACGGGCACACGTACGTCATGTCGGTGCTAATCAATGGTTATCACCTTTCAAGAGTTCGTTGCAGAAATGAAGGACAACGACTCGGATCGTGCCCTCTACCTAACCCAGACAAGCGCATCTCTGTAGATGAAGGCGTTGTTGAACGAAAATCTATAGAAAAGTAATAAAAAAGTGATCAAAATAATAATGCATAATGTCGCAGTGGTCGGAGCACGGCCCTGGGTGTTCTACCACGCCTGTGTTACGGAAACTGAATAAAATTTGTCAAAAGACGATGTCAAAACTGAATCTACTCTATGTATTTTACTGTTAGTTAATAAGAACGTCTTTGAACATTAGGATCAGAGTCTTATAACGAACAGTTTCATACTGATGGACTGGTGTAAATGAGGCTTGTTCATGCAGTGTCGTTTGTTTTTCAGGTTAAAAATGTAAATCGTTTACTAATGCTTAGCTGGAATTGTGTGGGATTAGATTATGAAGGTCTTCAGGTGAGCGTCGTGCCATCCACGGCATATATCGGCAGCCAAAGAAATTTTCTCATAGGCTCCTCGCTGCACAGAATATTTTTTAACGATCGTTCTTTTTTAGCTCGTCAAATTTGTGAATTTCTTATTTTTGCTTTTCTAAAATTTGTTGATGAAAACAAAGTCTTCGGAGATTGTCTGAGCGAACGTGCTAAAGTCGCCTAAATGGATTTTTGAAAAATTTCTTAAGGTTTTAGCAAAAATAGTTATTTTAACGATTTTCTAGGATTTGCCTAAAATGTCGCGGGCCTAAATCACTCACTAGCCATTTTCAGAATATCCTGTAGATAAATATACTCGGCTGTTACAAGCGAATCCGGCTGACATACAAATGAATCACTTTTAACCAACATAAGATTGGGCTAGAATAGTGATTTTTTAATATGTTAATGGTACTCGTTTTATTCTTTACACATTTGTCCCAGCGTTTTGGCAGCTTCTAAATAGCCATACACCAGCCATTCGTCCTACCATATAAAATTTTTCTATTTTTTTTTAAGTACATTGATAGTGGAATGTGCTTGTCCAGGGATTGCTCTTTATAAGGCATAGAAAACCCCGTAATCACACAGATCACTTAGGTCGAGAGACTAAGCAAACTAAAGCTAAGGTTAGACATACAACCGGAGGCTTCGCAACAGACTACGTGTTTTAAATTGCCGTACCGATAGTCTATGAATCTCTTTACTCGAGACAGCGGGTTATATTTATTGTTTGACATTCGGCAAATATCTTACATAAGCAGACGTCTCTGATGTCCATTGCAAGTGGTGCCATCACTTTGCGTCCAAACTTACTCGAGACTGTCCCATAAGTTTATATCTATCCAGGGCGACGTCGTCCTTAGTCTGGTCGCTCATTGGTTAACGGTAGAGATTAAACTATACCTCGTCTATAGGGGCCATACGCTTCAGGCGGGTTTTTCGTTGATTAAAGTTCTGCGCATAACTCGTGGAGTGGACGAGACGCATTTCCAACTGGCATGGATTTGAACACGAAGGGTCTATTTTTCTACTCAGTTGCCGCATTTTTAATATCTAAGAGATAACTATGTAACACGTTAGATGTGAACTGCCAGTTTTGACTGACGGGTTTTTACCCCCCTGATTGTGAGAGTTCGTTCTGCTCTTTGGGATAAGAATTGACATCTAATTACCTTTTCGCTGGTCTTCACCACTTACAAACCATTTACATCAGTCACGCACTGTGTATTGTACCTTCACTAAAGGCCTCCTTGCGTAAGGCCTTCACAAAGGGCATAGATAAATTTCCACAGCGTTGTGACCTTCGAGGAACAAAAACGTTACCGCTAATCATTGGTTTCCGAAACAAAAGATGTTTTCTAACTAAAAAACGGCCTCGTTTTTCCTAAAGTTATTTCGACTGATTTTCACTCAGCAGTTCTTAGGAGACTAGAGTTTCGTTCGCTAGTTTTCCAAATGTCATTTGCTGACAGCGTATAGTTGAAGATTTAACTCAACTTCAAAGTTCGCAGAATTCGCTTGTAACGGCTTAATACTTTTCAGCAATAATCGTGCATCGAGCAGTATTGCTGAATATAGGCTAGTTCAAACGTTGCTTTAATTCGCTACATACAAAAATTCAGCGGCATCGAAATGCGAGCTGGTAGCAGACGACACGGTTTAAAAATCCGGAAGAACTCAATGGGCAATAAAACAGCCCACTGGCTTCTGTATGAAAAATTCCTTTTCATTTTTTTTGAAAACGTTTTTTTGAACCACTCGGGCTTCTTGAAAAAAGAAATTTATAATCTTAGCGAGAATTCGTTTTTCATGGAAAGACTGTATAAATGGTGATCCCCGTTTAAATTGCAAAAACGACACCCATTTTTTTTACCATGATGAGTTTATTATCCTATTTTAAAAATAACTGGCTTTTTTTATGCTACTAAAAACAACAGATTCAAAGCCTGCTATGATAAACGACCGACAATGTATGTCTGAGCTTAGAAGGGATACGCGATGTATATATAACTGAGGCAATGCGGCACAGAGCTTATACGGGACATTACGTTTTCCCAAAAAAAAAGAACGTTCATTTTAAATTTCAATATTATAAAACATACAGATTTTTTTAGATGTATACGCATCAGAAATTTAGTAAGATTCGGGTTTTGTTGAACAATTAAGGGTCAAAAGTTTGTGTACCACCAGTCGCCTGACTTAACATTATGAGCTCGAAAACAATCTGAATGGAAGGCCTATATATATAAAGGAATATAAAGGCCTTTGTGTTGTATTTTATTACATGGCTAGTATTGAAGCTATATACGTCAGTACATTTAGAGCATAACTAGAACAGGAAGTCATCGATGCCAATTCAACGGGCAAACCGAAATGAGCGATGCTAGAACGCAATAAAGCTTGGCAGGACAGGGATGTATTTATGTCATGTTGGACTAAAGCACGTATTGTCATACCACATATCGCAATTGTCAACAACGTGTCACAGAGAGTTGCCTTTGAAAGGAATTTTTTTACGGTTCCATTGGCATAACGTATCATTCCATCATAACGAAATCACAATAATGAATCTGAATACGTCCTGGTTGATTTTCGTAAATGGTGGCCACGTTATTGTGGTTACTGTTCCTTTTTACTTTTCAAACGAAACACAACCCATCGATGCAACAACAATGTCGCTCAAAACAAGGCTTCGCATTACGCAGTCAGACTTTGTACGAACCTATAATAGATTAATAATATATAATATTTGACCTTCCTAAGCTACTTAACATCGCAGTAAAATGTTATCAAGCGTCGTCTTTTCTCACCAGAATCACAATCATGTCTATGAGGAAAAGCATCTTCCGTTTAGCTTTGTTGAATGGCTAATTCCCTCGCTAAAAATCACCAGTACCCGATGTGCACTACTGATGGCTCGTATAACCCCATTTTGTGAGCCGACGCAATGCGTATGCGTACTTGATGTTTTTCGAAAGTTAGTTAATCGTAGTGAGCCCGGTTAGGCTAAATAATAGAAGAGCCTTTGATAAGTACATCGACATAATGTTTTCTGTGGCATCGGTTATTTTTAACAGTCATCTGTATATATATGTAAGTTTTCTTAGATCTGGAACATACATTGAATTGCCGAAAAATTACCATTTTTAATGCATGCATTAAAACGAGCACGATTTTGAAATTGCTAAAAAATGGCGGCAGTTTCATATTCGTCCAAGCGCGGGCGTGCTTTTATAAATAGGGAATAACTGCAAAATAGGCTTTTTGTATTTATTTGAAAAACATAAAAATGTGCAGAAAAGGTGAATGTTGGATTACGTCAGTTCATGTAGTTACGATTCCTTACGTACTACCATTTTTGATATTTCGATCTCCTCTACGAAATGCAAAAGGGGATCTTAAATCAATTCCCTTCTTTCAATTCGAGGCAAACAAAGCTGTCACTGCTTTCTCTGGTTATTTTTAGACCGCTTTGCAGGTTCTACCGTATTTGATAAAACTTCTCATAAACTCTATTCATTGTAAAGCTTTTTAGTTCTCTCAATGGCTTTATTCACGTTTAATAATCTATTTAGACAGTGCCCTGAGGTCGGCTTTTCATAATAATCAAATGGAGATTACCTGTTTTGAGATTACGTCTAGTACATCTAATCTATCGTAGGTATTTCCCCAAATTGACCAAACCGTCTAATGTCCTCAGAAGACTCGTATACACAGGAGATCATAAAGTAAAACCTACATGTGCGATTATGCACACCAATCAACAACGTAATCAACAGGTTGATTAAAATTTAAAGGAGCAATAGAAAGGACTCTAGAATCTTCCGCAAGATCAATTCTCGCTATTTTCACTACATCCGCTTGATAGAGATGTTTAGAATCCTTGGCTTATAAATAAACAACGTCTTTTATGGGCCGACACTGGCAGTCCCATACTTCGCGACCATCGCAGAAAATTGCTTTTCGTCTTCTGTAACTTCAATCGGTCCTCTTCGGAAAGGATTGCCTCGTCAACGCACACGTGATATTCAATATGGTAGCCAAAGTTTGATTTTTATGAATCAATTAACTGTACCAAGATAAAATTTCTAGGCTTTTCTCGTTCTCTGCAGTGTAGATTCGTGTGTTGGTTTCTACCGGTGGGACTATTTCGCGTACCAATTTATCGAACCTTAGCTCGGATGCCAGCAAATAATTTATAAATTTATTCCTTAGATTTTATGAAAATGATTTAGTCACGCTTAACCATTGCTATAGTAGAGCCAATAGAAAATGAAAGCAATTTCTGCCTATATCCGCTATAATTTTAATAAAACGCTGCTTTTTCAGCTGTATATAGGAAGCTATCGACGATACGCCAACGAAATGTTATTTTTAACCGCGAAAAGTCCTGATTTGCGCTAGAAGGAGTAACGTGTATGGGCTTCGAATTCGAAACGGCCGACCCAGGGAAGGACTGAAATGATACGAATGGTCAAATAATATTACAAAGTATATAACTCTTTCAAGCGATTGAGCCCTCCCACCCATGCTAATTTCGTCTCACCATTTTCCGCACTGACCTGGTCTTAAAGACATTTTCAATGGGGCGCCAATGAACATAAATACAAAATGATGCCCAGACTTTTCCTTCTGCGTTCTTTCTGAAACTATCGAAGAAACGAATATTTCATCAACACTTTTCCCTGTTATTCTTGGTGGTCATGTTACTAGATACAACCGTCATTTAGCACGATTACAGGGTTATAGCTCTGATTTTTAGCTAAATCACGGGTCC